CTAGTAAATGGGAGTACAGGACATTCAGAAAAATCAAGACTCAAGACTTTGGGACTTCTCTACCCAAATGTCCCCATTTCAGACCTCAGGTTCCTATATTTTTCATCAGTGCTCTGAATTTGACATGGGAGACATGTCAAAGTTGTGTATTAAGTATCATTTGTGGTTCTCTCAATCTGATTAGATCGTAGATCTAATTATCAGCACAGCTTGGCCTGTGGACTAAAGGCGATAACTTGTTTCCTGAGATGCTGCCACTGAGGCCCTTTGCTTTCACAGTGTATCTTAAGTTGACAATTGGCACTCCTCAGCCTATCAGTCCTGGCCTACTCCAGTCTTCACAATCACCATTGTCTCCATACTGAACAGATGCCATAGCCACCGCCCCCCATACTTCACCTCCGCCTGCAACACTCAATCCATCACAGGTAACAACCTGAATGATTATAACACTACTATGGCCCAGTGCATGAAATTAGTGCATAATAAAAGGGGATTCATTAGAGAAAATATTTTAATATTGCTATTTCCTCTTTCTCTATAATAGAAGTGTCAGAGATGAAAGAAAATTCGTAAAATACATATGAAAATGTTCCTCCTGTCAGAGTCTGGGGAGCTCTGCAGGACCCAGAGTCAAGTCCCCGCCCACCTGCAGCACCTCAAAATCACATGAGACCCAGACCCAACTGGTCCAACCCCCATTGGGCAAGATCCAGACCTGGCTGGTCCCATTCCTGACAAGCCCCGCCAGGCAGGGGGTACAGCCTCAGGTCCCTGGCCCAGCACCGAAAGGGCCCACAGCCTCAGGCCCCACAGCCTGGTGTCGGGGTGGAGGCATGGCCTGAGGTCCCTTGGTCTGGCACCAGGGAGGGCAGCATGGCCTGAGGTTCCCTGTCAAGCCCCGCTGGGTGCAAGGGCACAGCCTGAGATTCCCTGCCCCAGTGCTGGGTCAGGGGACACACCATGAGGTCCCCTGTCAAGCTCTGCCAGGCTGGGGGCGTGGCTTCAAGTCCCCCGGCTCAGAGCCCTGGTGAGGAGCGCAGCCTGAGGTCCCCCAGCCTGGCTCCAGGGTAGGGGTTACAGCCTGAGGATCCCCATCAAGCCCTGTGGCCTTAGGTCCCTGCTCCTTAAGGCTCATTAGAAGAACAGGGTCTCCACTGTGGGTGCAGCCATCTTGTGTTATGGAAACCCTGCATCCTCTGTGGGCGCTGCCATCTTTGTGACTGTGTGAGAGTCAATTTGCATATTCTCTCTTTATTAGATAGGATTGCACATCAGATATTATCATCACATGGCCACCACCATAGGCAACTGATACTCTTTTCTGAAAGACCTCTGAGGAATTTATGGTGCTGTCTCAGAACTTGCTGCTGGGGAGACAAAAGGCAGAAACCTCTACCTGTCAATTCTTGCCCCCCATTGGTTGAAGATGAATCCACAGGCATTACATCCCCACAGTTTCAAGTTGCACATGTGAGTGCCAGGAAATCCCCCGAATACATAAGAAATGCCTAGAATCAAGAGCTAGGTCACTGCAGGAGCCTGGGGCAAGGTGCTGTTGGGCTGCACCCAGCAGAGCCAGGGTGCCTCTATGGCACTGGTCACTGGCTACAGCACAGATGGGGGTTAAGAGGATGTGAAATGATGCATGAGGGGATGTTCCATCCAACCGCCCATGTTGATGGAGGAATAATAGGTAATTACAGACAACATAATGTGATTGATTGGGGAATATCATTAGCATTTCTTTTCTATAACGTCTATCTGCCTTTTTAATTTGGTTCAGCTCAGTGCTCGCTTCAGCAGCACATATAATTTGGTTCAGCTCAGATTATACTGAGATTGCAAGAATTGTATCCCCTAAGCACACCTAGATAGCTAGGGAGGTAGGGTGTGTGTGGGGGTACTCAACCTGTTATTTGAAATGCCCTGCACAGAAAACCCACATGTTATTCATTCATTCATTCATTCATTCATTCATCATTAAACAAGTAAGCATTATTCTGGGCACTGGGATTACAGCATGGAACAAAGTATAATTAAAGAAACACACCTCTCAGACAGCTTACAATATATATGGGAATGAGGACCATGGATAACATAAGTAAATTAAACATGACTCTAGAATAGGGGTGTCGAACTCAATCAGAGAAGGGGCCAAAATCTAAAATCCAGCCTAAATCGCGGGCCGAATGGTTTACTGAACAGTCATAAACTGTCATTGTGATGGAAACGCAGCGGAGTGCAGTGATGACAGCGTGGTGCGGGCCACATTGCAAGGCCTGGCGGGACGGATTTGGCCCGCGGGCCTTGTGTTTGACACATGTGCTCTAGAAGGTGAGAAGTGCTCTGAATAAATATCAAGGTGGGAAGAGGGTAGGGGATGCGGGGCTCGTTGCTTGAAACAGATGACATCTGAGCAGACTTGAAGGATGACAGATCTGTGGCCACCTAGAGACAGAGTATCCAGGCAGGAGTAAAGGCCTCCAGTGGAGCTGGCCTGTCTGGTGGGAAATGGCAGGATGGTGGGGATGGGGTAGGAGGAGCCACCATGGAGCATGGAGGGTCCTAGGGGGCCTCTTTGGAGGGAGGGAGAAAGGAAGGGAGAATGGAATGGGGAAGGAGGAAGATAGGGAATGGGAAGCACTGGAGGCTTTTGAGCAGAGGAGAAGGTGATGTTGTGATTATGTCTGAATTGTTTACACACTCCATGTGAAGCCAGGTCTCAACATGGTTCAATTAGATACGCATAGGATTGTCATCCAGCAGATGTGGCAACTCAACATAGCTATCAGGGAATGCAATATTGAAATCACTATCTGACGACCTGGACAATGATAGGACTTTGGTCATAGATGTGACAGGGTGGATGTTGGAGAAGTCAAGACACAGATAAACTTCCAAACTTCATGGATGGTCACCAATGAGGGACCCAGGGACCCAGGGGAATTTCCAGGGGAGGCCCTGGCTGTGCGCTGCACCACATGGGGTGCCTGCCCTGCACCCTCCAGCCCAGGCAGGAGGTGCCTCTGCTCTCCTGTCCTGCACAGTGTGTCTGGCACTGAGCTCTCACTTGTAAACCACTCCATTGACAAGCATGGCAATAAAACGTCATTGCTCCTGATGGCAGTAGTCTGTTTTCTTAACCTTTGGCTTCCTTTTTTTCCTGGTATTTTTATACATCTGGTTCTGGTAAAATAAAAAGATTCACTCTATTTACAACTGTACTTCATGCTCAGGCCAGGTTTCGCTCCCACCCCTCCAGCTGAGGGAGAAGTGAAGGTCCCCTGCTGGCAGGAACCCGATCCAGGCAGGTCGGTGCCCATGAGTCCTCGGGCCCCTCGCTGTGTGGCCAGGATGCCATCTGAAGGTCACTGCTTAGGAAGGGGCATTCCAGCAGATCCCCTGGTGGGGCTCCCTGGACCACCATGCCTTCTGAGATGTGGCTCTTGTCCTGTGTGGCCCTGTTCACTATTTCTATCCCCTACTGTGTTTGCTTGTATTGCAAAGCCTTCAACATGTGGGAAGCCCCTCACCTGCAAGTGCTCCCCAACATCTGAATGTAGTAAAAGGAAGGAAGGTGCCAAGGACAAGGGCCCCGGCAAGGCCCACAGTGACAGTTGGTCAGTGGGGCTGAGAGAGGGGGCTTGGTGAGGGGCTTCCCCAAGCCCTTAACTGCAAGTGAGCCCATCTGTGCTTTCTGACCCATAAAGAGGGGCCAGGCAAAGCGAAGGGTCCCCTCAGCCAGGTCTCAGGCCTCCCCTCAAGTCTCATTGTGTGACAGGAAACCTCACAGTCAGACAGACACCAGGTGTGATCCAAGCAGATTCTTGGAGACACAACCATGAAGCAGGACCCCATGGCCACTGCTGCCCTGACAACAGCAGCCCACTGTGCACAGGACTCTGGCAGGTCTTCTCTCCTCTCCCCCAGTCTTCCAGAAAGGAAAGGACATTTCCACTTTACGGAAGAAGAAGAAAGCACCTCAGAAACATAATTTGCTCAAGTTTCCACTGATCTACATGACTCCAGATCCACATGACTTTGTGGATATAAATGAACAATATACACAAGTATACATACACCCCACTCCCACACATGCACACCTGTACACTACAATCGGCACACACACATACACATACAGCCCACATGACACACAACACCAAGCATTCTACACACCTCACCACAAATATATAAAAATGCATATCCAAAAATATGATAGAAAAGGAAAAAAATTAAATATTCAGATTTACTAGTGTTTAAGGAAGTACAGCTTGAAGAAAATATGAAACTGACCACATTAAGCAAAATACTACTCTGTGTGATGAAAGTATGGACCCTGGAGTCAAACTTCCTGCGTTAAATGTTAGCTCTACTGATGATTTGCAAGGTGACAGTGGGCAAGTTTGTTAGCTTCTGTGTCCCCTCCAGCTCCTCTGTGATATGGGACAACAGCACCTACTTCAGAATGTTGGCTGTGTGAACTTAATAAGTAAAAATATGTAAAATTCTTAGAATAGTGCTTGCTACTCAGAGAATTAATACACGGCCCAGTGTTATTATTATCGTTCCCAGTACTGCTACTGTTGAGGGGGCTACAGAACAAGTGCTCTCCTCGTCATTGGTGGCCAGGCCTCTCTGAGGGACACTTAATAAGATATATCCAAATCCTTAAAAACTGTCATCCCATACCTCCCGTAACCCCTTTATTCTGAGGATATGCAGAGAGGCAGTCACAGATTTGTATTTAAGCATGTTCACTGCAGCAGTATTAATAGCAACAGAAAGAAAAAATGGAAACAACCTAAAGCTTCTAGACCAGGCCACTCAAGCAAAAAACCTTGAGGACATCCTTTGTTCCTCCCTGACATCCAGTTAACAGCCAAGTCTGTCCTTTCCACCTGCCTCAGGAATCTGACCACTCTCTGCAGCATCCAGTCAGGGCCCTGAGCAGGACTCCCTCAGCGAAGCCTCCCAGCCCCTGCCCCCCACTGACCGACCTGGTAGGGTCCCTCTGTCCCACGCTGGCGTGATGCCCTGCCCTTTTCCATCGCACTTTTGTAATCTGGTTCCCACTTCCGCCTCTTCCACCAGGTGAGGAGCCCCACACAAGCTGCATGCTGCCTTTCTTCTTTACTTTTGTACACCCAAAGCCTGCAACGGTGCCTGCACACACAGCTTCCTGTGTGAAAGAAGGAATGTGACAGCCTTAAAGCTGTATTCTTAACAAATCCATATGGCAAAATGTTCATGAATACAATATTAAATGACCAAAATATCTACAAACTGTCTATCACACGATGTTAACATTATCATCCATAAATATATGTGTCACAACCCAGATAAAGGCACTAAATTGTTAGCAGTGGTTACTCATGGCCATTTTTATTTTTTCTTTATTGTTGCATCTATTTTCTAGTAAGCATTTGTTTCCTTTGTAATCATGAAAAGAATGGATGAAGATAAATACAGCAAAAGATTCAGGACTTTTAAATATATATATATTATTATTGATCCAAGAGAGGAAGGGAGAAGGAGAGAGAGATAGAAACATCAATGATGAGAGTCATTGATTGGCTTCCACCTGCATGCCCCACACTGGGGATCAAACCAGCAACTCAGCCATGTGCCCTGACCAGGAATCGAAACTTGACCTCCTGGTTCATAGCCATGCTGGCAGGGCCAGGACTTTTTAAATGAACCATGATTTGAGTCCAGGGTTGAGGTATCCTGTGAAATACCCACATTTGAACTGGCCTGAGACTTATATCTATTTTACACCGTCACTTTCAGAGCAGCTCGCACAACTGCTGGTGTTTTTCCCAATAACTATGCCCTTCCTTTCTCATGGGGACTCTTTAGGCTGAATGCAGCAGAGGGGGTAGATGGAGGTCTCAGAAAGACAAGATTTTTTTTATTTTTCCTAAAAGAAAAATTCAGGGTAAACTAGCCTTTTTATTTTTAACTTTTATAAGTCACCATACTCACACATTCGGGTTAATGTTGTAGAGGCTCTTGCTGGAGGACTTATTTCTACGTCCCATAGCAGCATGTTTTACTGTTGAAAGGTGTCTATGTGATAGCCCCCACAGTGGGGCCATCAGAGTGTCTCCTGGCCAGACTTCTCAGGACTTAACCTATGCAAGCCCAGGGACTCAGCCAGCACACAGATGGAGGCCCTGGGACGGATCTAAAGAGGATGGGACCTGGTATGAGGGGTGTCTACAGAACTTGGGACATTGGTTTCAAATCTTGGTCTGGACTCGGTATTTCCAAATTTCTTTTTTAGCCTGATTTCTCAGCACCTTAATTTCCCATCAGACAAAATGGAATGTTAATGCATCTCACTGAGGTAATTTTAAGGAGTAGTGAAATTCACAGCATGCCCCCTGGGAAGTTGGTATTCTGACCTTCTGCCCACAGGTCTCTCTGAAGCAGGTCAACAAATGGGGAAGAGTGGAAAGTAAAACATAAAAATTGTCTTCTGTTCCTTCCATGTGGCTTCCCAGGGTAGAATTGAAGACAGTGGTGGGAGGTCTAAAAAGTCAGACTTCTGCTTCACTATAGAACCTTCTCAGAACAAAAGTGACCCAAAAGTCTGCCTTGTAAGGTAGCACTGAATATTTCAGTGGTGGTGACTGATCACTGGATGGTTTTGGTGAATCTCTGTGTTGAGTTGAAACTAGATAGATAACCTCTAATGGTCCTCCCAAATCCAAGAACTTAAAGTTTATGCCATTTGGCCTTTTGGCTTTTGGAACTGCTTAGAAATAATTTATAATTCCTCCTTAATACCATTTTATCTAGGCCAGCCAGAGCTGCAATTGCCAGAGGGCCTCCATCCCTTCTCCCCACAATGGTGGATACTTGTCTCATTATGACTATCTCCTCATTACAGGAAAAACTCACAATATGGGGATTGCCTTCCCAGAACGAAAATCAGAATCAAATTCCCAACCTTCCTTGCAGGAAGGATGAAGTCTTGATCCTTTAAAGCAAGCATAGCAAACTCACAATTTATGGGCTGCATGTGGCCCAATATAATGATGTGTAAGAAATGTTTTAATAAACATTTTGTAACTTAAGTTTTACAATATTTTGTTATACATAATCTATATATATAAAAGTCCAGCAACTGGAACGGTGGAACAACCAGAATGACTGTTGGCTATGATGCACACTGTGGCAACCAACCAACCTGATCTGAGCCCCAATCGACACCCCCCATCTCGATCTGGGGCAGAGCCAGTTAGCTAACCACCTTCAGCCCCTCTCCCTCACCAGCCTGGCCCGATGGGCTCCCATTGGGTGGGCTGGACAGATCCCACCCATGCCCAAATTTGTGCACCGGGCTTCTAATTATTAATAACGAACTACAACATTTGCTAATGACTGATTACTATAATCATGTTGCATTCATTTCCCTTACACGCCTTATGCATACACACACCATTTCTCTCCACTAATACTAGCAGCAAATATTTTAGTAACCAATTGCCACATCATCAGTCTTGTACTGTCTTGTTTGGTGTGTGCAATAGGAAATATTTCACTTTCGGAGAACAAGAAAAATAGGTTTATTTGCTTTATGCTTATTAATTTGTGCAGTTATTCAGTGTCTGTTAAGTTAGTCTTTAAGAAAAGATAATAATTTTTATTAAAATATTCTCTTATTTTATGTTAACAATTACTTATTTCAGCCTTTTGTATTCAGCATGTCTCTATCGAAATAAACCTACGTTTCTATGAAAATTGAAGCTTTTGTGCGTTTTTTTTTTTTTTTTTCTGCCCACACAAATTTAAACCTTGTTTATTTGGGTTGTGTTAGCCTTTGAGTTTGACATGCTTACTTTAAAGGCTCCTATTCAAGACTTGAGTTTGGAAGTATTATATAACTGAAGGGTAAAGGGGGAGAAGGAGGAAATAAGAGAGAAAGGGAGTTCTGCCTGGTGCCTCCAGACTTTTTTAAAAGTGTTTTGGTGGCAGAGACATCTGGCCTTCAGTAGTGGCAGCTATTTCACAGATGTTGCAAGGACAAGCCTGGGACCGCACATTTCATTGGTTCTAGCAGAGGTGGCAATCAAGCAGGTTTCTTGCATTTAGTGCTTCTGAGTAGAAAGAACACTGCAGTCTACTCATGAAGTCTGTTGCTAGAGCCTGGGAGTGCTCCTGGAAAGTAAACCTCAATTCTCACACCCACTTGCCTGTGACTTAGTGTTCTAATATCATCTACTATCACCTAAGAGAACGGCTAGATGCTCACTTGGCCCATTTTCTCTTTGTCCTTGGACACACGGAACAAGACTGCTTTTCCTCCTTCTCCTTTCACTTGGTGTGATCACTGGACTGCATTCTGTCTAATGGTGTGTAAGCAGACATGACAAGCTTCTGTTCCTGGTCCCTAAAACCTCTGGGGCAGTCTCATCTCCCAGCAGAATCCAGTAGAAGACATCAAGAATCCTAGAAGATGGGAGTCCACTAGTAGAAAGGAATCTGGGTCCTTGAATCTCCAACTGGTCTGTGCTATAAAAGGGAAATAGGCGTCTTATTGTTTTAACCCACTTTGAGTTGGGGGTTGTTGTAGGGTTAGCCCATCCTGACTAATACACTGAATAAATCAGTTTTCTACTGAACTAGCCAAAGTAGATCTTATTTTTTATGACTAAGAGCTCTGAGTGTTTCACTTCTCTACTTCATCTGCCATCAAGAGGTCTGATTTGTTGATTAGGTTGTCACCTCTGCAGGCAGCCTCTGGGTCCCTCAGAATAAGAGGCATTGGGCTTGACTTTCTGTGTAATACCTGCCCCATTGAGTGGGCTCCAACTCCTAGTGATGCTATGAATGAGTGATGTCCACAATATCCTGTCCTGTAGACTCATGCCTATGGCTTCTTTTGGGGAGTAAATTCATCTCATATTTGGACTTTCTCTCTCCCTACTGCCATGATATGGACCTCTCCTCTAATGCAGGAGTAAGGGATGCAGCCAGCACCCCATCCAGCAATCTCACCCTTCCTCAGGACCGGCCACAGGATTCTCTCCAGGGGAGAGTCTGCTTCTCCTCCTCTCTTGTCACAGCAGAGCCAGTGGCCTCACTCCAGACTCCCTGATGGAAGCTGAGGAAAGTCAGGTGCTCCTGAACTCCCGAACTCCACCCAGGGAGTTCTGCCCCTCCTCTTTGTGGTAAGAGAAAGCCAGCTCTGAGTCAGGAGCCCAGAGAACCATCTCTGAGGAAATTACCTTGCAGCTAATTGAAATCAGGCTTTAGTCAGTGCAGTAGACCTTCTGGCATCTCTCCCCTGCTCACCCTGGAATCTCCCCACCCACAGGGGTTGGCCCATGGCAGCCATGCTTGTATCATGTGACTGATTCCCCTCACAGTTGATTGGACCGGAGACTAAAGGTGATCAAAATTGGGCCAATGCCTATTTTGTGCCTGAAATCTGGCAGTTTCAGGCTGGGCTGCTTCTTTGAGCCCATCTATTGAATAAAGCAGCTATAAACTGATAAATGGTGGATGGGGCCGCCTTCTATGCCATGTAGACAACCAAACAGGCCTAGAGGAAGCCAGTCAGCTAATGAAAATAAAATAGCAGAAATAGAGAAGGAAAGGTGAGTGGGTTAGAAAGGAAGTTTCTGGGCCTAGCTGCATCCCAGGCTGTGGTATCACAAATAATAAATTTTCTCTAGTTTGCTGAAGCTCCTTCCAGTTCATTTCTAAAGTCTAACATGGAAGGGCCTTCACTAATTCAGAAAGAGGTAGAAAATGTTACCACACAGATTGTCGCCTCATGGACACTTGGCACCTCCTGGCTTGTCATGAACTGGGAAACGGAAAGGTACTCAGAAACTAGGGAAACTAGAGAGGCCTCCTAGTCCTCCCGGGCCTTCCTTGTACCAGTAAGTGGAAAGTACATGGCCTTTCTCTCCAGCCCAACAGCCTCCTCTCCCAGCAGAGCAGTGCGGGCTCCAGAGAGTGGGCTGAGTTCCCAGCTCCCAGAGGCAGCCCAAGCTGACGCTGGAACCCAGTCTCATCCTCTCAGCTGCAAGGCCAAGTACAACCCCAAACCTAAAACCCCCCTTAGAGTGAGCGTCCCTTTCTCACTGCAGCTTAGGACACTGTCCCAGGCAGAGCTAATTCCCCTCGCCTGCTCGTCCCCTGGTCCCCGCCCTGAGGCGCCTGCGGGGCGCGCACGTGCGCACCGGGGCAGTGATGGAGCAGCTGCCCAGGCCCCGAGGGTCCAGCGCCCCCTCCGCACCCACCCGCGCCGCGGGGAGGCCCAGCCGCCGGGCCTTTCAGAGGTAATTAGCCTCATGCATATGGATGCCCCGCGCTCCAAAGAGGTTGCGCGGTCGTAACCTGACCACCGGAGGAGTGCGGGAAGAAAAGACCACTTTCTGGGCTGGGCCTCCAGCAGAAAGCAGGCAGCTGGGCGCCGCGCCGGTGTGACCGCCGCCGCCGGGCTTCTCCCTCCGCAGCGCGCGGGGCTGCAGCGCCCGGTGACCCACGGGCCTCGCAGGCGGCCCTGCCCGGTCCCTGTGCAGCGTCGCGGTAATGCTATCGGCTCTGGGAATTCATTCTGCAGCTTTCCTTTTCCTTGATGGTTTTCATTTCCTGTCTTTCAGAGCTGGAAGCGTTTATGGAATATCACATGGTTTTCGTTTACACAGGAAGTCAGCTGCAGTGGTGAGGAGATACCGGCTGACTTTTTGTGTTTGTTTTTGAGGTCCCCCACCCCCACCAAAAGAGGGGTGGGAGCGCGTGAGCAAGCGAACTTGCCGCATTTTGTTTTGAAGTCCTTTTCCTTTTTCATCCAGAGTCACTGTTTTCCGAAGTGGCCTGTGACTACACGCAGAAAGCAGCAGTTTATTTCTGACACGTGGTAATCACTCTACGTGAGGAAAGCTCAGCAGGAAGAGGCGCTTTTGCTTTTCCCGGAGCTTAAGCGTGAGCCCGGGGGATGGGCGAGGGGCCCCCGGGACTGGCCTCGGAGCAGCTGGGAGCCCAGCCTGGACCCGGCGCGGCTCTGGCCGCCTGCCAAGCTCGGTTCCCACCCTTCCGGGGGAAAACACACACACACACACACACACACACACACACACACACACTCACACCCCCCACAGCCCTTACCGCCCAATAACCCGCTAGGAACACTGCTTAAACCTGCCCGCAGCATTGTCTTCCCTCTGCCCCATGAACAAGGACCACAAGTAGGTCTCTTCTCATCCACCCCCAACCCATCACCCCAGCAATCCAGAGAATCTCAAGGCTTTATAACAGAGATGGAGAAGGACGTGGAAGAAGAATTTACGATTTGTTCTGTAAGCTCCGCCCTCGGTCAGCACTGAGTTAGGAACTCCCGACTAGAACCTCCCACAAAGACAGCGCTCTCTAGTTACCCTCTCTCCTTCCCTCTGTGGTTCCTGCAGCTTCTCACCCTCCACCCAGGAACCCAGGGCAACTGACCACCCTGGGCAATAGCGCCACCTCGTGGCCAGACCCCTCTCCAAACATTTCTCCCTCTCCCTTTTCCAGGAGCCTGAATAGTCCCTGTGGTCCCTGCAGACTGGCTTAAAGAGCCAGGGTACTCACAAGCAAATCAGGGCTGAGACCCCTCACCCGGGGTTGAAATGGTCCCTCCCTTCTTTCTTCTTGCCCCGAATAAACTAAAAGGAAGGCACAGAGGACCAAAGTCTCCTTTCCTGCCATCTGCTATTCCACTCTAATAGGCCAATTTCTTTAAGGCTGAGCCCCAATTAAATGGTAAATGTCTTTAAGAGATTAAAATTTAGGCACCTATTTTAGGATGAACCAGTTTATCATCTTTTCCCTAGGGGTAACGGGGTTCTTAGGGGCACCCTGAGGGGCAGGAGGGGCAGGAGCCAGCACTGCAGAGGCCATACTTCAGTGGCGGAGGCCATCCTGTGCTGGGAGCAGGAGGTGGTGAGGTGGCTCCGGGAGGCAGGATCGGACAGTCCTGTGCCCATTTCAGTGGAGGGCAGGGGCCCTCAAAGGACACCAAGTCCGCTTTGTGCTCTCAGGACCCAGGTATCCCTGACAGCTGAGGCCCGTTTATTGATTCCTGGATTTAATCTTCACCCAAGGATTTGCTTTTTACTGATTCTAGAGAGAGGAAGCGAGGGAGGGAGGGAGGAATCAATGTGAGAGAAATAGGCTGCCTTCTGTATGTGCCCAAAACCTAGGTATGTGCCCTGACCAGGAATCAAATCCACCACTTTTGTGTCTTCACAGATGATGCTCCAACCAACTGAGCCACCCAGCTAGGGCCAGGTGAGACCCATTTAACTGAGACTCTGACAGCCTCACCATGCCCATCTTGTGCTCCTTTACCCCAGCCCATAACACTCCCAGCCGCCTGTGAACATGAGCCCTGCATTTTTACGGCTGCCTACTGGCGGCTGCAGGATAAATGGGGGACAGAGGCTGAGTGCTGCAGCCCTTTCCGTCTCCCAATATTAAACTGTGTAACGTGACCCATTCTCTGAAACTCAATATTTGCAAGGACACCCAGAAGGCACCTGGCTACCAAATCTCTCCACCAGGTGGGTCATTTGTGCTGTAAAAATTCCACCTGGGGATTTTCTCAGCTTCCGAAGGTCCAGCAGGCGAAGCCCCTCCCGTTGCGCAGGGAAGCCTGGCTCCGCTGTTATGGTGGGTCTGTGCAGACTGAACCTCACTGGGGCCTGGGAGCCGAATGAAAGGAGCCCTGTGCCTCCGTGCAGCGGTGGCTCTGGCCTCTGTCTGAGGCTGTTTTCCTCCCAGGAAACTGCAGCGCCTCCTGCTGCCCGTTGCCCAGTGGAGGACTGTTGGAGGCATCGCGGTGCCTCTGAAGTCCTTCAGCTCCCAGTGAGCAGCCCCGCTCTGTGCTGAACCAAGTCATGTGGCAGGTTCTGAGAGGCGCTCTGTACCCCCCCACTCGTACCCCGCACTCACACTCACTCTTCTTTCCTCCTCTCTCCCTGGGCCTATGGGGTTTACTGATCTGGGGGCAGGGGAAAGTGGGTTGTCACAAACTTAGTTACTCTAAACTCCAAACCCTGCCTGGCCGTTGGGTTTTAGGGTGATGGTCCCCAGTGAACCACAGGGCTCTCAAGAGGTACCTCTCTGCTTCGGACTCTGTCTGCTCCCTGTGGCTTGACCCTCTGGAAAAGGGGAGCATTTGCTGAGGAAAGGGAGGAAGTTTTAAGAGGGAAAATCAGATGCCCCACTCCAAAGGCTTCTGAGAAGCTCCGTGTTCCTGGCCGAGCCTTGGCCGGACACCCCTGCCTCTCCCGGAGAAGTCCGTCCTGGAGGGTGTGACCCAGGCAGGTCTGGACCTGCTTTGCCATCTCGAACTCAATTTTCTTTCTCTCTCTCTTGTTTAACTATAATTTTTTATTATTGATTTTTAGGCAGAGAGAGAAACATCCGTGTGAGAAACATCGATTGGTTGTCTCCTCCAGGTGCCCTGACTGGGGGTCGAACTGCTAACTCTTGGTGCCTGGGACAACGCTCCGCCCACCTGAGCCACACCAGCCATGGCCCGGACTCAACTTTCAATATGCATTTATTCCTGATGAATTTATTTTTTTAAAAAACCTTCTGGTAATATGCCAGAATGAGGTATATAATGATGTTGTTTAGCAGCAACTGTGTCATTCTGTGTTGTTGACAGTAAAATAAATTAATGTAATAAACATAATTTGCTCAAAAACAGCTAAGGAAAAGCAGATGGTTAACACATTTTAGCAGGACCTGTTGGTCCATGTTTGCACGGATGTTTAGACAGTGTGCTGCCTGCAACAGATGCTCGCCTGGGACTCCATGTGATGGGCACAGGTGACGCAGCATGGATGTGGGGGAGGGGGGCTGGGCCACCTGGGGGTTGGCATCGTGTCCAGGGCCCTCCCTGAAAGGGGAGGAATGCACAGCAACCATTTGCCTAGATTCCAGCCAGGGCTGGCTCAGGGCAGGAAGCCCGCCTCTGCTTCCCCCACCCCACCCCCGCCCCCGCCCCCAGGACAGGGCCCACGCTTTCCCAGCACCTGGCCATTAGCATGCGCAGCCTGTCCCTGCCCAGTCACTGTTCTTTGTGCTCCTGGAACAAGCCAGCTTTCTTCCCGAGAGGACGCGTTCCAGCTCCTGCCCCTGAGCTTCCCCAGCAGCTTTGTTGGCCAGTGGGCCTCGGCTGGCCACGAAGAGTGGGTGCCCCATGGCCCCTAAAAGAGAAGGAACATCTATTTCGCAGAAGGAGGCCCTGGCTCCCCAGTGCCTGGGAAGCAGGGCGAGGAAGGGGGTCTCCTTTCTCTCCAGGTTGGAGGAGTTGGGGCTGCAGGTCACTGCCACCCCAGGTCCTAGTGGCCAGGACATGCTTCCTCCTCCAGCTCCTGTTTGTAGCTGGGGATGCCAGGCCTGCCACCTGAAAGGGGACCCCTCCCAGCATTCAGACAGGTCCACAAAGGTTCTGGAAGTTCCGTACTGTGTGGGCTCCTGTGCACAAAACATGGGCGCTGGACTGCAGACCCTCAGAGATGGTTCAGAAGTTCCTGGCAAGAGGGGATTTGGAGGAGGGGTCCCAGCTGTCTATAAAATACCCAAGGAAACCCTGGTGTAAAACAGCTCGCACCTGTCTGAATCCATCTCCTTCTTTTCCAAGTGGAATAGCTACGAAGGGAGGGTGTAATGACTGTGCAGGGTGCTTAGCACATGCCCAGCCTGGGCCACATGCCCACTAAATGGAGATGTTAATCTCGACTGCGACACCCAAGCCAGTCTCATAGGGAAGGCAGCGCTTCCCCTGAGCCCTCCCCACCCCCACCCCCCATGCCCAAAAGGCCTTCAAACAGAGCTCTGCCAAGTCTTCTCTGTCCCAGATTTGCTCCTCAGCAGCTTCTGACTGATCACTCCTCGGGCCATCCTCCACCGCTGCTGTTCAACCCACTCCGCCTTGCCAGGTGCTCTGAGCCAGAGTTAGAAGGCTCACAAGGGGAGACGGGTGAAGGACAGAGTGGAGAGGCAGGAAGAGTCAGGGAGATCCTCCAGACCAGGGCCAGGTCTGACACTGGGAAAGGAAGGAGGAGGGAAGTTGGATAGAAGAGCTGAGGACCAAGGACCACAGTGGAGTTTTAGAAAGCCTGTGCCCTCCCAGCATGGAGCCCCAGGGTCCCTATCACAACCAGTCACGAGCAGGGCGTAGCCTCAAGTCAAATGCTGGGTGGATCTGGGTGGCATTGCAGCTGGAAGCAGTCAGTGGGCTGACCACGCTCCTCCCAGCAGGTTCTCTCCTAAGGGAAGCAGGCAGGGCACCCCCTTGGCACCGCACGCACCAGGCATTCCCTTGCACTTGGAGCATTATGCTCTGATTCTGCAAGCCCCTTCCTACCTTGTCCAACTCCTGTCCCCCGCCCCACACATTTCTACCCCAGCCACTGTGCTTCCATCCGCAGAGCCTTCAGGACCGCCTAGAACACGGCCTCCTCTTCTTTGGAGGATTCTTCAGGCGATTCAGTTCTCAGTTCAAGTGTCAGCAAGTTCCCTGGATCTTCTGCCTAAAGCAGCCCCCACCCACTCTTTACTCTGCACAGCAGCTGATCTCGGTCTTGCATAGCCCTCCTCACTGTTTGCATTATGGATGTTTCTTCTGCTTCGCATTTATGTGCGGATGTTTGCAGTGTAACATTTACTGAACCAGAGGCCTTGCCTTCTCTGATGTGCTTACCACACTATTTCTCCAACAGCACTTGGCTCACAGTGGGCACACAATACATACTTGTGAAGGCAAGACCTGGAAGGGCTGGGAGCACTAGAACTGGGTGTTCTGGGCAAGGTGCTACCCACTTTTCAGACAAAAAAGAATAAGTTTTCAGAAGAAAAAGAATGCTGAGTTTGTGTGCCTTGACAGGCCTAATAGGACAATGTAACAGGAAAGTGACCCCAAAGCCAAGGACATTAGGCATGTGGAAGGTATTTATTCCTTATCTGAACCTCTCAGGGCTTTTAGCATAAGAACCACTGTGATGTCTTTACAAGCTAAGGAAGGGTGGATCCGAACCTCTTCCCCCAGCATCCCTTCTCTCTGAGTAGTTTTTTAAAATTCTTTAACACAATAGGCCTGCTTTTGTTGTATAGTATAGGCTCAACCGTTGGCAATTTAATTGTTACCAGTAGACTTGATTCTAGAACATTCCAGTTACTGTGGCCTTGGGCACTTTTCTAGCATAATTCTTAGGTTATTTTGTGGGGACACTGAGAGGGCATATCTATATAGAATTCTTCTTGCTGATATCAAGCAACCCCGCAGAACCACACTCAACAACAACCTGAAAAGCCCCCACATTTCCAGTTATCCCAAATCTTCTTGATTAGCAGAACGCAGCGCTCTTAGTACTGTATGTACCGTGCTAGCAAATCACCCTGCAACTATTACAAAAATCTCTGAGGGGCCGTGGCAGCTGCAGCACAGATGTTTGCATAGCAGCTGAGCATTGTTTAGTATCAGTAAACACTATCTTTGAGACATAAAACACAAATGTGGCACTAGACATGGCAATAACAAGAGCCATGATGACCATTTGCAGGGAAATGGAATAAGACTCAGGGCTGTTCAGCCCCTCTCTCCCACACAGCGTGCCCCATTTCAGAGCAGGCTGTTCGGTGTTGAGTGCTGGCAGGCCCCAGGGTCGGATCTCTAAGCCAAATGGCCAGTTTGCTCCCTAGAAATGAATGCCTGGAGTTTGTGCTAAACCCAAACACCCCAATTTGTGATTCTGTGAGCCCATCCTTTGGTATTTGTCTTTCGGATGTCACCAAAGATTTAACTCTTCAGGTTCTGATATCTGAAGCTGCTCAGTCTGTCCAGCTTCAGGTAACGTGGGCTGGCCACAAGCAGTTTAAAAAAAATAACTCCCAACTAGATACCATCCCTCCAGGCTGTCCAGAGAGTATCTCTTGCTCTCATTTCTGCCAGAACATTCCTTTAGAGATGACAAACGGTCACATTGAACCCCAGAGCTCACCAGAGGTTCCTGGAAGGAACATGATGGAGCTTTCAATTGGTGATGAAGCCAGTGCCACGCATCAGAATGCCATTGGATTTGGGCCTAGAGGGGAGAGGGGCTAGCCTAACCCTAATTTTTCACCTGTGAAAACTGAGGCCAAAGCAATGATTCAAGGCACAAGGCCAGGTGGAAGCAGCCAGAAATGGACCCCCCACCCCAAGGCAAATATGATGTTTGATGCCAGCATCCACTTCCATTTAGTCCTCCTTTGGTTGTGTCTTATCTTTTAAGTTTAAGTATAATTAATATATACTAATTTAAAGGAAAATTATTTAATCAATATTTGATATTAAAGAAAAGTCAACACTTTAAAAGGTTACTCACCTTGCTTGGCCAGCATGGCTCAGTGGTTGAGCATTGACATATAAACCAGGAGCTCGAGGTTCGATCCCTGTCAGGGCACATGCCTGGATTGCAGGCTCCATCCCCAGTGTGTGGCGTGCAGGGGACCACTGATCAAAGATTCTCTGTCCTCCTTTATGTTTCTTTCTCTCTTCCCTTCCTCTCTGAAATCAATAAAAATACATTTTTTTAAAAAAAGGTTGTTCACCCTCTAATTTAGGAAAGACATGAGGTTGTAGGCTAGACAAACTCACTCCATGGACATTTGTCCCTAGAACATAGGAGTCTCAGGGTTTCCATTGACTCTAACAGGGTTAAGATCCCAGAAAAATCTTGCTTGGATCTGTTCCCATCCACTCCAGGGTTAGTAGAGTTGTATGAGTCAGACTGTCATGTGTTGTTCAGAATGTAGGGGGAAGGTCCAGTGTGGACACTCCTAAGGACTGCCTGTGCCAGGAGTGATCTGAGTCAGAGCCGGCCTCCCAGACCCCCTGGAAAAGGCTTCCAGGAGCCTATGCTGGTCCAGACTGGGATGACAGTACATTTCCCTGACTTGCTATCCTGTGACTTGTCTCCTTCAGCATCTAGTGCCACTCAGAGAACTGCTTCTAGACCAAGGCAAATGTCCTAACCCCACTGTTGATGGAAGGCCTCTTTCAAAGTCGACATTTCACTTGTATTGAGCCTTCTTTCAGAACATTCCAGGTCAACCCTGAAGAGGTCAAGACTGATGACCTCACTTTCTGTAAGGATGTGGAGGTCCCCAGCTCTGCACCAGCCTCTGTCACTAGGGGCTCATAAATTCTGTCTCTGTCAAGGTCCTACACATAGCAGCATCTTGTTTGTCTTGATGTTTGTTCACTTCTTGTCTACATAATAACTCTTTGCCTGTCTTCTAAGGGTTACCCAGTGGGGATCATCCCTTCTAAGGCTCTGTAGCTGAACATTTTGCTGAAATGCACAACTTCCAGGAAAGAAAAAATTTCAGAACTTTTTTTTACTAATGAGATTCTGCAAACTTCACCATTAGGTTTCAGTCACCCTATTTCAAAGGAAAATTATTTCCCAAAGTGGCCTGTAGTGACCGTGGGAGTCAGTCCTGGTCCGGAACAAACCCATCAAATCCCAGGCACTGTCTCGCTGCCCCTGTGAGCCAGCCTTAGGGAACAGGAGCAGAGCAATGCCCCAGCACGTTGGAGTTCAGACCAGCTGATGAGAGGTGAGCAAGAATGGACACCTGCCTGAAGACAGCCTTCTGCCTTCTCACTGATGGCAGCCCCAGCGTGAGGTGGTGCTGAGGTACTCAACACCATGATGGCTGATGCTAAGACTCACGGAAAGCTGGTCTGGGAACATCTATCATCATTAGATCAACATTTGTTAAAGATCCATCACATACTGGGCTCTGTCCTGGGTGCTGGGACCACAAGAACTGGAAAGCAAGCTGCCACCATTAGCACATGCAAAATGGAAGCTATTTCTGGCATCAGAAAATGCCCCATGCAGGTGGGGCAGAGTGTGAAGAGCATCTTGGGCAGAGAGAGCAACACAAGCCTCAGCAAGGGTGGCAGATGCCGTGGGTGAGCCTCTCACATGGTTCTTCCTCTGGACCATTCATGTAAGTACAGCACAGATGCTGACCTGGGCTCCTGTCACTCTGATGTTTGACCCGATTTCCGTGTGTGTGTGCCTGGCTATTTGCTGGCCAGATAGGGTTCTGAGAAGGCAGAAACAGCCAGAGCCCTGCTTCCTCACTCTGGCTAAGTGTGCTGAGACAGGGGATGAAGTCCATACTTTTTCACCTCTCCTTCCTTCCTGAGCTTCTCCTGTTCGCTGTGAAGATGAGCATGGCAGGCACACCTTTGCCACTAGTGAGACATGCTTTGGGGGTGCCAGGTTTTCAGATATATTGGGTTCAATGGGGCTGAATGATTAGTGAGACTGGGACTGAGGCTAGGTGCTGGAATTGATGCTCAGGCAGGATCTTCCTCTCCTGGCTCCTGTTTACTGCTCTTGAAAGACAAGGCGGGCATTGGATCCACCCACCTGGCCCAGGCCACACCCAGGAGCTGCAGGGCCAGCCTTGGCCAGATCTCCAGGCAGCTCTTCACGTGGGTTCTGAAAGCAGCGCATGCATTTCCCCAAGCCTGGTGGGATTAATAAACGCCATTTAAAAATAATTAGAAATGATTTATAATTAATTTCAGAAATAGCCCTTGCCAAACAGCTCATTAAATATAATCTCCCTGGGTGTCAGGTTCACTCATTGTCAGGCTTTCAGGTCTCGGGAGAAGCAAGGCTGAGATTAGTCAAAGTTTTCAGTCAGAATCTGTGCCATTTTCTACTGCCTTCCCGATTCCCGGGCCACCTGATGTCCCGGCAGAGCCTGTGCTTCTCTCTGTGGGCTGGGGTGTGGGTGTGGATGAGGGGGCCTAGCAGGGTACTAGGTGGGGGACACCTTGGGCTTTCCTCTCAGGTGACTGCAGGCAAAGCCAAGACATTCTTCTTTCTGTGCTCATGTCCTCCCTGATGTTCATTTTTTATTGTTGGGCTAAGTGCTGATGTGGAACAAAATCCAAGCAAATGGGAGGCTGTACCTCAGTGTCAGTCCATGGAGCAAGTGGCAGCTGGGATTGCACAGGGGCTGTAGTCAGTAGGCTGGGGCCTGAACCCCTGTCCTCTGGGTTTGCAGTGGAACATGAGTTCTCTGAGGTGAAGTTATATCACTGAATGACCAGTGAGTGAGGGAAAGAGAGCTAGAAATGGTGGGCCACAGAGCCAGCCAGGTGTGCAAGGGGCCAGAAGAAGGTGGCTTGGTGAAGTGCATTTTCTTCCTCCTCGTGCCATGTTTGCCAGCAGTTGACTCTGCTTGTTGTGCCAGATGTGTGACCTATTGAAAGTAATATTGGCCACAACTAGTTAGATACTGGAAACCCAAAGAACAGTGACTCAAGCCCTTGCCTTTTGTTGACTAAGAGTCTAGTTGGAAAATTGAGATGTGAGCATATGGGGGGAAATAAGAAAACAAAACCCTTCATTGACAGTGGAATATGATGTCAAATGAGGAGTTTGGACAATGATTCCTTAAAATTCCAAAAGAAAAAGCGACGCTTTTGTTTGTGATTCGAGAAATTCTTTGAAAAAGAGATTTGAGCTCTGTCCTAAAAACATGGTGGAATTTGGAAGAAGGTGTGTGTGGGGGAGGACAGAGGCATAAATACCCCCAGGCAGGACAGCACAGTGCTCGTTGGGCTATGGACTCACACACCGGGTGAGGAATGTGGGCAAGTTAGGCTAGAGAGCTGGGTCAGGGCTTTACACTAGACTTGTACCTGACTTTACACTTTACACTTTAGTGTACCTGACTTTACACTAGACTTTACACTAAAAGAAAAATCTTTTGAAGGGAGTGAGGAGATTAGAGTGTGAGTCCAGGGCTCTTACAGTGGAAGGTGTCACAGGGAGCCTGTACCAGCTCCATATGTGGTGCCTCAGGAAACTCTGGGAGTGGCACGTAAGATGGATTATTGGGATATAGAACACTCTCCTCATTCGTTAACTCTGAGTTACCAAAGGATACTCTGTTCCTCAACAACTGCAAGTGAGAAGAAAATCCCCAAATAAGAATGACTTAAGAACAATTATTTTCTCTCACATTCTAAAAACTCAGAGTAGACAGGTAAGGGATTTGATGGTTATCCCTAGTCAGGCATCAAGATTGCTTTTAGTTTATTGGTCTGCAGTGCATGTCTTTCATCCCAACAACATCTCATGGTCCATGATGGCTGCTGCAACTCCTTCCCGTCATTCCAGGCAGAAGAAAGAAAGACTGAAGAAGAAGGAATCTGAAAGACTAAAGATGCCCATAAATTCTTTGACAATTCTCCCACTGAGAAGTGGGAATTGTGTCTTCTCCTCATGAGTGATCTAGTTTATGCACTAGAAGATGGAAGCAGTGATGTTGTGCTAGTTTCCAACTGAAGTCTTAAGAAAAATATCTGGGAACATTCTACCCAGAAGCCTTGAGCTGCCATGTGCAACCCTTGACCACCCTGCCTGCCACGCTAGAGAGGCTGGGTGAAGGGACACTGGCTGACAGTCTCTGTTTAGCCCAGCTTCCCAATCATCTCCATCAAAGCACCAGCTATGTGAACAAACCATCCTGTTCCCCATGGGTCAGCCCACCCACAAGCTGAGTATCACAAACTGACCCAGTGGGCTCTATCTGAGTTTCATATATGAAAAATTGTGAAAAACAATAAAAATGATTGTTATTTTAAACCACCAAGTTTGGGGCATTTTTTATGCTGCAATAGATAATCAGAAGAAAATTTAATACCTGAAAGTGGATTGCTTCCATAACAAAAATCCAACACATGGCTCTGGCTTTGGGACAAGACATGGATCAAAAGCTGGGAGAACCTTGAGAAGATTGTTAACAAAAGTTAGGAGGACCTCAAAGAGACTGTTGCTGAGAGATTGGAGGACAGTGAGGAAAATGTTACTTAAGTCTAGACAGAAAGTTTGGCAGCATTGTTACCTGTGTTAACATAGAAAATGGAAAGAGTAGATCTATTGGGTCTAGCTGAGGGGATGCTAGGCAGAAGACAAAATGTACCACTGACTTCTTCCAACTGCCTATGATAAACTATGAGAAAAGAGAGATGAACTAAGGAGGAATTATTAAGGTGTGGAACATACAAAGAAGCCAGAACTACCTGAATAGGATAGTGATAGGATAGGATAATATCACATTTCCGTTGTCTTCCAGCAAAAGTGTCAAATGATAAGAAATGGCTTCAGGACAAAGATCAAATCTAGGAAACTTTGTACAACATGGCCTCAGGGTGACAATCCCAAGGTTGTAGCTGGAAAAAAAAATACTCTAAGAAAGATTAAGGATATACCTAGTAGGGCTTCTGAGAATCTTAAATTCATGCCTTATAGGCTTTCTCGAGGCTGATTGAGAGCCCCTGGGATCTACTCAGATATTCAAGACAAATGTATGCCTGGCCAGATTCCCAAACTGCTATGGACCAATTCTGCTGCTATAGGCTTCCTTTCCACTCCTGTTTTGAATGGTGTTAAATGGAGTTTTCTATCCTAATCTCATCATTGTTTATTAAATGTTTTTTGGGGGG